TATTATAGATCTTTCTGCTTCTTTTCTTATAATAGACTTGTCAACTCTGTCATCCCCAAAGCCATAAACTGAAACGGTTTGATATTTTCTTTATGAAACAAATTATTGAAAAATACCCAAGCAAAACATTGACTTCTTTATGCAAAATAAACAAAAACTTTATGAAATTTATCAGTAGCTAATACAATATAAATCGTTAAAATTCCAAGGTCAACATTCTTTTCTGATTAATGTTATCATTTATTCATATATATATTGTGTAAGATCTGTGATATTTCATAAAATAAACTTAATTTCCCAACTATGAACTACTTCTACATGTCTGAAAAATGTTTAAAATATTTGACTGGTTTTTATCATTAACAATATATTTTTCTTCAATATGTTTATGAAATTCCTAATGAAATTTTACTCCATTAGTTTCTGAGAAAGAGTTACATGAAATATATTACTTTCACACAAAACTTTTCCAAAATAAAACAAAAGTTAACCTCAAATTAATTTACATTTCTTCACTGACATTATTGGTAATGAGTAAATAGGATTTCAAGACAAAAATTATTGTGTCATACCTTATTTTCAACTGGGAAATGTATATTTATACAACAATTTTCTCATCAAACAGAAACAAAAAGCAAAGAGGACAGGAAAGCATAGTTACTGTAGCAAATCATTCAAGTCTAAGCTCTTCTGGTTAACTTTGTTACCAAGGAGACACTTGGTTATAACTTGTCTCAGCAGAGAGGAGAAATACCAAGGGTGTTGGGATGGAGATCTTTTCAATAAGAATATATTCATTGCTTCTAAAACATCTAAAAGATCTATCTATGGTAAAAGAAAAAAATCTAGTTTCCTAGGTTTTTGATTAAAATAATTATTATCAGAGATAAAAGTCTTTTAATATTATTCCTGTTAAAAAAACAAACAAAAATGTTCAGATAGTGTGTACTGATGACATCTTGAAATTGAAATTTTCCTTTTAGAAAAGCCCATTTAAATCCATAGCTGTCTCTTAGTTTTTCAGTTATTTATGGTTGATCAAAATATAATTAATAACAGTTGCAATCCATTTTTTATATGAAAGCAATTATTTCTCATTACAAAAGTAGCATACTTGTTTTAATGGTATGATGAGAATTTCAGACATCAATAAAATTAAGGTAGCTGGTATGTATAATTTTAACCTAAATGACTTGAGATATAAATTCTGCATCTGAGCAAAGATATATTACCTTAATAAAAATAGTAATCAGATAAGCTAAATTCTCAGTGTCATTATTTAAGAAAATATACACTTATATTACTTAAACTTAATAATCTTGTTCTCAGTTTTTTTAGATGCTTAAGGTAACACCTGAGAAGAATGTACATAGATTACAAAACAAGTTATCTGCTATTTTCCAAAAGTTAGCAATCTAAATGAAAAAAAAATCATACTTTAAGTCCATTTAAATAATGTCCAATTAATTACTGAACTTTTTCCTCTACGATTATATACAGTTATATATATAATTCTCCCGATATAATAGTTAGCATTTATGCACTCTTTTATGTTTCTTGAATTCTGTTCTACTTATCCCAGGTAAAAGTACAGTGACTGCACTGCTTCCTTTAGGTATTTGCTAAATATCGTTAATAAACTGGATCATTTAAGTAATATTGGTTCTTTGACATAATTTATATGGGAGCAAATATATACCTGAGATTGGTTCTTTGACATAATTTATATGGGAGCAAATATATACCTGAGAAAATGTTTTCTTCTCATATGTGGATTATGTTGCAATCTATCAAAGATTGTTAAATGCAGTAAATTTGGAGAGGAATTGTAAAATGCATTATTGGAAAACTAAATGTTTAATTAGTCACACAACATGTCAATAGGTTTATAACATCAGTTCCAAAACAAATACATGGAATTTAAAAATATGAACAACACCCCCAGAAACACAAATAAAACTTAAACTATGACATCTATTTGAATTTTAGTTTGCCAAATGACAAAGATGATTCTGATACATGCTTGAAAGAAGGACTTTCATGTGTGACATGTTGCTTTATGCAAAAGAGTCCAAAGTGTATTTACTTTGCATTAGTTAACATAATTAGTACATGAAAAATCTAGCCTATGTCAAGTGAGACTATTGTAAATATAATTAGTAGTTAGTACATATTCTTAAGTGACATGTACCTTGAGAAGTTTGGTAGTTGAATGTCATAGAAGGAAAGAATTAATCAATGCAATTTCAAACGGATACCTACTAAAAGTGGACACATGACTTTGAAGCTAAACAAAATCAGAGTTAAAAAGGTAGAGGATACATATTCTCGAAGAAACATTAAAAAAAAAAAAAACCTTGAAACTCAGAAAAGAGAATTCAGACAAATCATATATAAATAATAGAAAAAATTTCTAATTGAGCTTATTTAAAGTAAATATCTCACCTTTGTTAATTTCTATGTTTCTAGATCTTTTAATCAATGTTATCATTTATATTTCAAATTCAAGTGCGTATCCTATTTGAATATCTATAGTATTCGGAGGGTCAATCACACATGACTGGATGATTATTCTTCCAACACCTCTAGAGCTCTAAAATTTCAGCATCACTAATTATTAGAGAAATATAAACTATAGTAACATATCACCTCACAAGGTCAGAATGACCATCATCAAAAAAAATGTATAAACAATAAAATCTGGAGAGTGTAGAGAAAAGGGAAACTTCCCACACTGTTGGTGGGAGTGGATAGCCATTAAGAACAATATAGGGTGTCCTCTAAAAAATTGAAAATAAAATTACTACATGACCCAGCATTCCCACTCCTAGGGATATAGCCAGAGAAAACCATAATTCAGAAGTGTATATACACCCCAATGTTCACTACAGCACTACTTACAAGAGCCAGATCATGGGACCAACCTAAATGTCCTTTGAAAGAGGAATGGGTGAAGAAGGTGTGGCACGTATATACAATGGAGTATTACTCAGCTGTAAAAATGAACAAAGTTCTGCCTTTTACAGCAACATGGATGCACTTAAGATATTGTCACACTGATTGAAGCAAATCAGACAAAGAAAGATAAATGTCACACCTCTTTAACAAGTGGTGCTGGGAAAACTGGTCAACCACCTGTAAAAGAATGAAACTAGAACACTTTCTAACACCATACACAAAAATAAACTAGAAAAGAGAATTCAGACAAATCATATATAAATAATAGAAAAAATTTCTAATTGAGCTTATTTAAAGTAAATATCTCACCTTTGTTAATTTCTATAAGTTTCTAGATCTTTTAATCAGTGTTATCATTTATATTTCAAATTCAAGTGCGTATCCTATTTGAATATTTATAGTATTCGGAGGGTCAATCACACATGACTGGATGATTATTCTTCCAATACCTCTAGAGCTCTAAAATTTCAGCATCACTAATTATTAGAGAAATATAAACTATAGTAACATATCACCTCACAAGGTCAGAATGGCCATCATCAAAAAAATGTATAAACAATAAAATCTGGAGTCTGTAGAGAAAAGGGAAACTTCCCACACTGTTGGTGGGAGTGGATAGCCATTAAGAACAATATAGGGTGTCCTCTAAAAAATTAAAAATAAAATTACTACATGACCCAGCATCCCCACTCCTAGGGATATAGCCAGAGAAAACCATAATTCAGAAGTATATATACACCCCAATGTTCACTACAGCACTACTTACAAGAGCCAGATCATGGGACCAACCTAAATGTCCATTGAAAGAGGAATGGGTGAAGAAGGTGTGGCACGTATATACAATGGAGTATTACTCAGCCATAAAAATGAACAAAGTTCTGCCCTTTACAGCAACATGGATGCACTCAAGATATTGTCACACTGATTGAAGCAAATCAGACAAAGAAAGATAAATGTCACATGATATTACTTAAACGTGGAATCTAAGTAAAAGTGGTATAAATAAACTTATTTACAAAACAGAAGTATGGTCACAAATGTAGAAAACTTTTGGTTACCAGGGAATAAAGAGGGATAAACTGGGAGATTGGGGTTGACATCTACACTTTGGTATATAGTAATACAATGGACAAGTAATAAGAAACTGCTATATAGCACAGAGAACTCTATTCAATACTCTGTAATGGGCTGTATGGGAAAAGAATCTAAAAGGGAAAAAAAAATAATTGGATGTATGTATATGGATAACTGATTCACTTTGCTTTGTTGTACACCTGAAACGAGCAGAACACTGTAAATCAGCTATATGCCAATAAAAATATTAAAAAATTAAAGTTAAAAGTTTAAATACTGCAAGCCACGGATTTCCATATGTATTTGATTTAGATTATATATTGGAGGATAGTACAAAATTGACATGAACAAAAAACAAAGAAGTGATGGTTTAAAAAAACCTAGAAAGGGAGGAAATGTTGCTATTAATGATAGCGGGAATTAACAAAGAGACTTGAGTAATTTACAATCCAAGTCTTTTAAAATACTGCTGCTGCTGCTGCTGCTGAGTCACTTCAGTCCTGTCCAACTCTGTGCGACCCCACAGACGGCAGCCCACCAGGCTTCCCCGTCCCTGGGACTCTCCAGGCAAGCACACTGGAGTGGGTTGCCATTTCCTTCTCCAATGCATGAAAGTGAAAAGTGAAAGTGAAGTCGATCAGTCGTGTCCAACTAGTAGCGACCCCATGGACTGCAGCCCACCAGGCTCCTCCATCCATGGGATTTTCCAGGCAGGAGTACTGGAGTGGGGTTCCATTGCCTTCTCCTTAAAATATTGCTAATATATTCTAAAAGTAGCACAATTAATTCAGATAAACTATGAAGCTATAAATGGGATTATATATAAGTATGTTTTCTCTGTAAATAACACACAAACACCCATACTGACCTGAGTATCCTAATTTGTCTGTGAAATACAACTACTCTTATCAAAAAATTATCAAATAGAATGGCAGAATAGTTGAAATAAAAGGCATTTATGTATTTACCATGTAGGTCCTTATCTTCAATAATTGCCATCTCAACATCTTTTCCAGTAACTACTGTGCATGTGAAAGGAACTTGAAGAAGAACACTTATCTCACCAAAAGACTCCTTCTCATTAAGTCTACCCATATAAACGAGTTTCTGAATTTTTTTCTGTAATAGATACAGATAATGTTTAATGAAATCACTTTCATGTAATGGATAAACATTATTACTACTAGAAATGTACTGTTCATATATCATTTGGGTATATGGCATTTAAAATAAATTAGCATTTTCATGCAAATCAAGAGGACACTTATTTATAAATATACTTAAATTTTTATTAGAAAAATAGTAGATTGATAAGAGAACTTCAGCATATCTAAAATAACTGAAAGTACTGTAGTTTAGTGATCTACAAATTAAGTGTTTTAATCCACCAAGATGTTTATGAAACCTTGAACTAATTCCATTTTTGAACATTGTAGGATACCATTTAGCAATCATAACTTAGTATACTTAGTTTGTATGAGTAACTCTTTGAGACCCCATGGACTGCAGTGTGCCAGGCTTAATGTATGTCAAAAACCATCACAATATTGTAAAGTAATTATCCTCTAATTAAAAAAAACTAAAATATATAAAAAAAGATTATTTCAACTCATCCTATCTGCTGATCATCAGTTCAGTTCAGTTCAGTGACTCAGTCGGGTCCAACTCTTTGCAACCCCATGAACTTCAGCAGGCCAGGCTTCCCTGTCCATCACCAACTCCAGGAGCTTCCTCAAACTCATGTCCATCGAGTCGGTGATTCCACCTAACCATCTCGTCCTCTGTCATCTCCTTTTCCTCCCACCTTCTATCTTTCCCAGCATCAGGGTCTCTTCCAATCAGTCAGTTCTTCAAATCAGGTGGCCAAAGTATTGGAGTTTCAGTTTCAGCATCAGTCCTTCCAATGAATATTCAGGACCGATTTCCTTTAGGATGGACTGGTTGGATCTCCTTGCAGTCCAAGGGACTCTCAAGAGTCTTCTCCAACACCACAGGTCAAAAGCATCAATTTTTTGGCTCTCAGCTTTCTTTATGGTCCAACTCTCACATCTATACATGACCATGGGAAAAACACAGCTTTGACTAGGTGGACCTTTGTTAGCAAAGTAATGTCTCTGTTTTTTAATATGCTGTCTAGGTTGGGCATAGCTTTTCCTCCAAGGAGCAAGTGGGGTTTTTTTGTTTGTTTGTTTGTTTTATTTCATGGCTGAGGTCACCATCTGCAGTGATTTTGAAGCCCAAGAAAATAAAGCCTGTCACTGTTTCCATTGTTTGCCCATCTATTTGCCATGAAGTGATGGGACCGGATGTCATGATCTTTTTTGAATGTTCAGTTTTAAGCCAGGTTTTTCACTCTCCTCTTTCACCTTCATCAAGAAGTTCTTTAATTCCTTTTTTGCTTTCTGCCATAAGGGTGGTGTCATCTGCATATCTGAGGTTATTGATATTTCTCCGGGCAATCTTGACTCCAGCTTTGCTTCACCCCAGCATTTCACGTGATGTACTCTGAATATAAGTTAAATAAGCAGGGTGACAGTATACACCTTGATGTACTTGATGTACTCCTTTTCCAGTTTGGAACCAGTCCATTGTTCCAGGTCCAGTTCTAACTGTTGCTTCTTGATCTACATACAGGTTTCTCAGGATGCCAGTAAGGTGGTCTGGTATTCCCATCTCTTTAAGAATTTTGCACAGTTTATTGTGATTGACACAGTCAAAAGCTTTAGCATAGTCAATGAAGCAGATGTAGATGATTTTTCTGGATTTCCCTTGTTTTTGCTATGATCCAATGGATGTTGGCAGTTTGATCTCTGATTCCTCTGCCTTTTCTAAATCCACTTTGAACTAGAACTTGTCTATTCTAGAACTTCATAAAACTGAAATCATACAGAATGCATTCCTCTGAGTTTCACTTTTTTGCCCAACCTAATGCTTCCAGATTCATCCATATTCTTGTGTGCATCAGAGATTCTTTTTGTTGAGGCATGATATTCCAATGAAGGAATATACCACAGTGTTTCTATTCATTTAACTGTCAATGGACATTTAGATTATTACTTATTTTTTGACATATGAAGATTCACATAAGTCTTTTGGTAAATGTATATTTTATTTCTCTTGAGTAAATATTTAGAGTGGAATTTCTGGGTTATATGTTAAGTATAGTTTAACCAATCTGATATGCTTGTAAAAGTACTTTGTTGTGGTTTTAATTTGCATTTCTTTGATAAATAATGTCAAGCATCTTTTAATGAGTTTCTAGGTCATTTCTAAGTCTTACAACTCAACATATCTTACAACTTATTTTACATATTATAGCTCAGTAACAAGAATAAAATAAATGCAATGAAAATTCGTTTAAAAAAAACTGAACAGCTGTTTCACAAAACAAGACAGATAATAAATGACCAATAAACAGAAGAAAAACATATTCAATAGCTCCTATTTATTAAAGTAAATTAATCGATTAAAAAGAATACATAGGTTTAAAACTTACCACTTTTCTTGATTGTGGTTTTGAAAGTCCTATGATATTTCTATAAATTTTACAATATCCAGAATTAATATAAGCCACAAAAGAAATTATATTTCCACTTTCCACGATCACTGTAAACAAAAGAGATAATTCACCATTTCACATAATTTCCTAGAAGATATTATTTTAGTTACTAGGACAATAAAAGTTGGCATGTTTAATTCAACAACTATTAATAGTAAACTTAATGAATGACAGTATACAGGCAATGCTTGTTATATGAAAAATTTATGCTGGATATTTATACCAGCACCCAAAATAGAAATAAACATGGACAAGAATTTGGAATGGTGTGCTAGTAAACTGTGTGGTGGAGGAGAGGAAGAGGAGTTTGGGGCAAGGCCCAAATTGTAGCATTGTATGATTTTCATTGTGCAGATATTGATGCCATGACTTGTTTCAAACTGCCAGTGATTTAACAACTGTCTCAAAGAAACAGAAAAGTCTCTGAATATTTAACATTTAGAGCTTCAGAGCTCAAAGTGTATAATAAAAAAAGGAAGTAAAAGGTTATTTGTCACAAGTCATTTATTTTGCTTAAATAAAATTTTATGTAACTCTTCTACTGTTTTATACATTGTCTCTTAAATAACATTATAAAGTTATCTTCAAACATCAAAGCATAATATAGCCATGCTGCGGCTGCTGCTAAGTCGCTTCAGTCGTGTCCGACTCTGTGACCCCATAGACCGCAGCCCACCAGGCTCCCCCGTCCCTGGGATTCTCCAGGCAAGAACACTGGAGTGGGCTGCCATTTCCTTCTCCAATGCATGAAAGTGAAAAGTGAAAGTGAAGTCGCTCAGTCGTGTCCGACTAGTAGCGACCCCAAGAACTGCAGCCCACCAGGCTCCTCCATCCATGGGATTTTCCAGGCAAGAGTGCTGGAGTGGGGTGCCATATGGGCTTATGTGTAAACTGTATAGACATGGTAATGTTTTCATAGACACAACAATTTAAAAACGTAAAGAGTAGCCTTTTGCCAAAATATATGATAGCAGACATTGTTTTACTTCTTTTAATCAATCAATAGGACATAAAGAAAAGCACAGTCTTCTGGCAATGTAATAGGTAAGAGAAGGATACACTTAAGCAGATACTAAAGAAGCCCACTATTCTTAACTTTTTGAGCAGCACTCTTGTAAATCTTTTCTTGAAAGTCAAGCCTTATACAGAATGTAGAGCAGCATGCATAATATCAAAGTGAATAGAGATCAATTTGTCTTTGTATTAAAGGCAAGGCAACAACAGAAAAGCTGAACCTGCAGTAAAACCTATGAGGCAACCTCCCTCCTTAGAGGGAACAGTTGCTTCCTGAGTAATTGTTAATAGTCTCTATACTAATCATAGAAAGAGTTTATCTTAATGAAGACAACACAGCAAAACCCTTTTCATCTAAGTAAGCAGGCTGAATTTAATGACATTACAAAAAAGTATATCTCATTACACTTAAATAAGAAATTTTAGATTCTTTTTGACTAGGAAAAGAATTGCATCTACTGCCTGTTAGAGAGTTAACACAACTCTCTCGTGTTTCTTAATTTTAACCGTTCAGCCTTTGATCCTGCTTCCCACTGCAAAGATCTTACGCCAGTGATGTCAAGATAAATGTTGTCATGTCCATACCTTTTCCTCTTGAGTTACACAGAAAATGATGAACAACATAGAAAGATCCAAAGGATTATAAAACAATTTTAAGTGGAAATATTTAGTCATGGACTACATAGGATAAATTTTATTCATTGTTATTTAAAGGTAATAGTCAAGAAATAAATCTTATTTGTATTTCAAACTTAGGCTTTAAAGAGCCTCATCAAAACTCACACTCATACTCTAAAACCTGAAGTTATTAGATCATTATGAAAACAGCAAACCTGATTTTATCTTAAAGGTAAATAAGAAAGGGAAGAAAAGCAAAAGGGTTCCTAGAGAGTGAGCAACAGGTATTGTTCTTTTCCTTCTTGTTGTTTATTATATACCAAGAAATAGTAAAAAAATAAAAAAACTAATAAAATAATTTTATCCCAATTTTCAGGTCAGTTAGAAGTCATGATAAGAAAGATAATTCCCAACTGGCTATTAGAATCAGCACTGGAACAGTTAAGGTCTCAGTTTAAATGGGAACTAGTGATAAGAAAGATTGTTAAAGGACACCTTCTTAATTAAGATAAGCCATTAGCTTATCTTAATTAGCCTAACAGATGAAAACACAGTTTTGTATCACAGTATCAGTAAGACTGATGCACCTCTAAGAGCAGAACACACATTAGCTTAATGGATACCAGTTCCTGTAAAACTAGATTACTAGGAAAAGAACAATATTAACGAAACAAATGCTAGCAAGTGCTACTTTTGAACTTTACTTTCAATTTGGGGAAATATTTTTGAACATGTTTTCCTTATGAATATATTTTTTGCTGTTGCAATGTTGCTAAGAAAAATCTTGGTTAGAAACGACTTTGTGTTTACAAATGCTGAGTATTTCTGTAAGGGTCCACACTAATGAAACTTTCAGTTCAGTTCAGTTTAGTTGCTCAGTCATGTCCGACTTTGCGACCCCATGAATTGCAGCACGCCAGGCCTCCCTGTCCATCACCAACTCCTGGAGTTTACTCAAACTCATGCCCATTGAGTCGGTGATGCCATCCAGCCATCTCATCCTCTGTCGTCCCCTTCTCCTGCCCCCAATCCCTCCCAGCATCAGGGTCTTTTCCAATGAGTCAACTCTTCGCATCAGGTGGCCAAAGTACTGGAGTTTCAGCTTCAGCATCAGTCCTCTAATGAACACCCAGGACCGATCTCCTTTAGGATAGGCTGGTTGGATCTCCTTGCAGTCCAAGGGACTCTCAAGAGTCTTTTCCAACACCACAGTTCAAAAGCATCAATTCTTCAGCACTCAGCTTTCTTCACAGTTCAACTCTCACATTCATACATGAACACTGGAAAAACCATAGCCTTGACTAGATGGACCTTTGTTGGCAAAGTAATGTCTCTGCTTTTTTTTTTTCATTTATTTTTATTAGTCAGAGGCTAATTACTTTACAATATTGTAGTGGTTTTTGCCATACATTGACATGAATCAACCATGAATTTACATGTATTCCCCATTCTGATCCCCCATCCTACATCCCTCCCCATCCCATCCCTCTGGGTCTTCCTAGTGCACAATAACAATAACCCTATATGCAGGATAGAAAAAGAGATACAGATGTATAGAACAGGCTTTTGGATTCTGTGGGAGAAGGCGAGGGTGGGATGATCTGAGAGAATAGCATTGAAACATGTATGTTATCAAGTGTGAAACAGATCACCAGCCCAGGTTGGATGCATGTCTCTGCTTTTTAATGTGCTATCTAGGTTGGTCATAACTTTCCTCCCAAGGAGTAAGCCTCTTTTAATTTCATGGCTGCAATCACTATCTGCAGTGATTTTGGAGCCCCCAAAAATAAAGTCTGACACTGTTTCCACTGTTTCCCCATCTATTTCCCATGAAGTGATGGGACCAAATGCCATGATCTTAGTTTTCTGAATGTTGAAATTTAAGCCAACTTTTTCACTCTCCTCTTTCACTTTCATCAAAAGGCTTTTTAGTTCCTCTTCACTTTCTGCCATAAGGATGGTGTCATCTGCATATCTTTAACCAATATTAAACACTACCTCTTTATTATTTGAAAATCTATATTTATATTCATTTAAGAATATTTATAGCTAAGTGGAACCAAATATTGAATAGAAATATGTGTCAGAAATACTGATCGCTGACTAATTTCCTAGTATACTAAACCTTCTGAATTCATGGCAGGTTAAAATAGGTCATTTTTCTAAAGTATTAGCACTATATGTAAAATTCTCTCATGCAAGTTAAGTCCTTTTCACTTTACATAGAAATAAAAATAAGTGAGCATTTCTCTAATCTCACAAGTATGAGATTTTGGGGGGAAAAAGGTTATATTAATTATTGATAGAGGAAATCCAGAGAAATATGGGTGGAAGAAATTTAAATTTTGAACATACCTCAGAAACTATTCCAAGAAAAGAATTTGTGGGCTTAGTCACTCAGTTGTGCCCGACTCTTTGCGACCCCAGGGACTATAGCCCACCAGGATCCTCTGTCCATGGGGATTCTCCAGGTAAGAGTACTGGAGTGGGTTGCCCTGACCTCCTCCAGAGGATCTTTCCAACCTAGGGGTCAAACCCAGGTCTCCTGCATTGCAGGCAGATTCTTTACCATCTGAGCCACCAGGGAAGCCTCTCCAAGAAAATTAACTAATACAATACATTTATAGAATCATTTCACAGAAAGTAACAGAATATGATTGGTTGCTCATTAAAAATTAAGACAGATGAAGAAGGTCCAGACCTGATGTTGGATTCCCCGAACCCTCTCTCTTCCACATTCTTGCTCCTTTTTCCCTTTTCCTCCCATTCCACGCTCCAAGGTAGGACAAATATTACTAGTTAGAAATTTTTACTGATGCTGAAGCTCAAATTCCAATACTTTGGCCACCTCATGCGAAGAACTGACTAATTGGAAAAAACCCTGATGCTGGGAAAGATTGAAGGCAGGAGGAGAAGGGGACGACGGAGCATGAGATGGTTGGATAGCATCACTGACTCGATAGGCATGAGTTTGAGCAAGCTCCAGGAGTTGGTGATGGACAGGTAGGACTGGCGTGCTGCAGTCCATGGGGTCACAAAGAGTCGGACACGACTGAGCGACTGAACTGAGCTGAGAGCCTTTTACAGGTCAGGGCAGGAGAGATTATGGGGATCTGATGCCCAGCCAGATAGCCAGGACACACTCACAACATCTTCATTCGGATTTCCCCCTCTCAGTGAAGTCTACCGCGATAGATGGTACTACAGTTTAGCTCACTCTTTCCCAGCTCTCTCACCCTATTCTCTTTTTCCTCATGGTTTTATTATCATCTAACATACTAGTTCACTCATGTATTTCTTGTGCTTGTTGGGTATTATGTCCTCTACCCACTAGGATGCAAGCTCCATCAAGACAAGGGTCTTCACTTCTATCTTTCATTCATGCACGTACTTGCAAAGCAGCCACTCAATAAAT